CACACACACACACACACACACACACACTGCAGACAGGGGCTTCTGGGAAACTGGATTTCTTCACCCCCATATTGGAGAGGATTCCACTCATCCTTTAACTCTGGAGAAATATCTACAAGATGCTCAGAGAAAGGAGAAAAAAAWTTATTTGGGCACCAAAAATGCTTTTTTAAAAAAAAGAACGAGTCTAAAAAAACAATGTGAAAAAGATAAAGAGAAAAAACTGTGAGGAGGAGAAGTTGTGCATTCAGCTAAGCAGCAAAACACTCCCTACCTCCCTCCTTCTCACCCTGCCCCTGGAAAAGTCTCTCTCTCTCTCTCTCTCTCTCTCCATCTCTCTCCCTCCATCTCTCCCTCCGTCTCTCCCTCCCTCTCTCTGCAGCTGTGCTCGGAGCTGAGCGTCACCTCCACACAGCAAGTGCCTTTACTTGAGCAGAGGAGGAAGGAGGAGGAAGACAGCCCCGGTGAGGACCAGGAGCAGCCTCAGGAGCGCAGAGGCGCGCCTCTTTTACTTCACGGAGAGGGCACAGGAGCGCGGGGGGAGAGCCGGGTGGGAGTCGGAGGAGRCGGCTGGTTCTGAGGAGAGGCACTGTTGATCCTGACAAAAGCAGGAGGCGAAAAGAAAAAGAAGGTGACCGGATCTCGCCAAGGGGGGCGGCATTTCAGCGACGCGTAGAGAAAACACATCTACTGAACTCTTAGACAGGCGTAGAAATGTTTCATCCTCTTGTCCACGGATGGTAACTTCTGCGAAGGAATGTCTCTTTTAAGCACAGAGWTTTTTTTCTAACTTTTTTTTCCTCTCTTTTTGAAGTTGGATCCTTTTAAGCACAAAGCAAATTCACCTCGATCTTCAGCTGCAGAAGCCCAGAGCCGCTTGGGTGTTCATTAAAATTCTTCTGATCCAGTTTTAAATGGATTATGATGGTGGTATTTTGGGATTTTTCTTTGGCTTGTAAAACACACCTATGACTGGTGGATTAACGTCTGACACAGAAGGCTGGGCTCATCTCTTTGCTTTCTTTGGATTATATAATTTTTTTTTTTTTTTGCGTTGAAGCTCATGGATGTTATCAGGATAAAGTATAAAACATGGATTTGTGTTCCTGAAGCTTAAAGTTAAAAACAAGGATGTCTCTACAAGCACAACGCAGCGGCTTTTGTCTTTTTTTAACAAACTGCAACTCCTTGATTGATCAGTTATGTTTAACGAATCACAATTAAGGCGTATAAAGGTAGGCAGATCCTTATTAATTTTTCTGACAAGCGAGCCTGCGTGTTTACAGACCAATAAACATCATTTACTAAATGAGTGGTGCTGTCTGCCCACAGGTGGCTCGGGCACAGGCGGAGATTGATTGAAGGGATCGGTGTGAATCCAATTATTGCAATCTGGATTCTTMCCAAGGCAGAAGCGATGGCGGGGAACTCCAGCGTCTGATCTGCCCCCCTCACCGGATCCAACGAGGAAACCTCAGCGCTCGGTGTTCCACAACGCTCCTCCTCTTCGTTKGACCCAGGCCAGGATGGTACCCCCACCCCCTACCAACAAGCCCCACGTGTGCCTGTCTACCATCCTGATCATGAGCAGCATGGCGCTGATTGATGCCTACCTGGTGGAGCAGAACCACGGGCCTCGCAAGATAGGCATCTGCATCATGGTGATGGTGGGAGACATCTGCTTCCTGATCGTGCTGCGCTACGTGGCGGTCTGGGTGGGCGCCGAGGTGCGGACGGCGAAGCGCGGCTACGCCATGATCCTGTGGTTCCTCTACATCTTCGTGCTGGAGATCAAAGTCTACTTCGTGTACCAGAACTACAAGGCGGACAGGAAGAGTCTGGACGCTCTGGCCAGGAAGGCGCTGACGCTGCTCCTGTCCATCTGCATCCCGGTGCTGTTCGTCGTGCTTGTGGCCATCGACCACATGGAGTACGTGCGCGCCTTCAAGAAGCGCGAGGAGATCCGGAACCGTCTCTTCTGGGTGGTGGTGGACCTGCTGGACATTCTGGACATCCAGGCCAACCTGTGGGAGCCTCAGAAGAAAGGCCTGCCGCTGTGGGCGGAGGGCCTGATGTTCTTCTACTGCTACATCCTGCTCCTGGTGCTGCCCTGCGTGTCCCTGAGCGAGATCAGCATGCAGGGCATCAACATCGTCCCCCACAAGATGCTGCTTTACCCCATCCTCAGCCTGGTGACCATCAACGTCATCACGCTCTTCATCCGCGGGGGGAACATGCTCCTCTACAGGGACGCCAGGGTGTCGGGGATCCTGATAGGGAAGAACATCCTGGCCATCATCCTAAAGACCTGCAGCTTCGTGCAGTACAGGAGACAGTTGCAGAACGCTCCTCCTGCGTTCGGAGTGGAGCTGCAGAAGAACTCCGTGGCTCACACTCGCCCGTCCCCCACCCCCCCTCAYGTGGTCATGCAGGACCAGACGCCGCTTCCCGAAGTGACGACGTGCGAGCACACATGACARGAGGACGAGTGACTCTGGGAGTGTCGGCAGGACCCCGCGTGACCCTCGGGGAAGCTGGCTGGGGGAGCAGTGGTCCGCACCGTTCAGGGTGTGGGAACGCTCAGGAGAACATGAAGGTCATGATCCCTGATGCTGAAAGGAGTGGTCCAGTTATCTCTGAAGTGATGTTCTGTCTAAAGTTAGCAGCTGTGACAWCAGTCAGTGCCGGGAGGAAGAAACAGACCCTCGTTTGGCCGTTAGTCTGGTCTGGATAAATCTTTCCTCTCCATGATTGATGTCATTACCTGCCTGTATTGTGACATGGGATAAAAAATTATGTGTGGCCACAAAATATTCATATGTGACCACGGGATATTAACGTAGGGCCACGAAGTAACACAGGGCCATGAGATATTATCATTTGGCTGCAAGTCAACATTAGACTTTGCATTTTTATGGCCATGAGATAGTAATGCGTGACCAGGCAAAATGTATTTAATTCCAAAGGATAAGTGGACATGAGATAAGAAAAACACTAGATCACAAGATAACACAAGCTTTTAACATGTGGCCACAAGATAATACATGTGGCCATGAGATAACATATGACTATGCATTTTCATGGCCATGACACAGTAATGCGTGGCTACACATAATTTATTTAAATCCAAAGGATAAGTAAGTGGACATGAGATAATTAACATTAGGTCACGAGATAATGCAGGGCCACAAGATTTTAACATGCGGCCACAAGATAATGATAAGTGTGGCCACACACATTGTTTTATACAATGTGATAAATAACACATGACCACAAAGAAACGCTTGACCATGAGATAAAATGTGGTCATGAGATAAAAAAATGTGAGGCCACAAGAAAGATAACACAGTCACAAGACAGCTATAGCGAGGTCACGAGGTAAATACTTATGGCCACAAGATAACATGCAACAATGAGATAACTCATGGCCACAAGATAACGTGGCCACAAGATAACATAATGCCACAAGATAAATTACATGTGGCTACAAAATAACATTTGGTCATGAGAAAAGTAATCACAAAACAAATAACATGGCCACAAGATAAATAACACGTGGCCACAAGATAGATAATGCAAGGTCACAAGATTAAAACTCATGGCTATAAGATAATACATGACCACAAAGTAAATAACACATGGCTACAAGATAACATTAAACCACAAGATAAATAACATGTGGCCATGAGATAACTTGTGGCCACAAGATAATGATAAGTGTGGCCACACACATTGTTTTATCCAATGTGATAACACATGACCACAAAGAAACGCTTGACCATGAGATAAAATGTGGTCATGAGATAAAAAAATGTGAGGCCACAAGAAAGATAACAGTCACAAGACAACTATAGTGAGGTCACGAGGTAAATACTTATGGCCACAAGATAACATGCAACAATGAGATAACTCATGGCCACAAAATAACATGGCCACAAGATAAATTACACGTGGCTACAAAATAACGCTTGGTCATGAGATAAGTAATCACAAAACAAAGAACATGGCCACAAGATAAATAACATGTGGCCACAAGATAGATAATGCAAGGTCACAAGTTTAAAACTCATGGCTATAAGATAATACATGACCACAAAAATAAATAACACATGGCTACAAGATAACATGTGACCACAAGATAAATAACATGTGGCCATGAGATAACTTATGGCCACAAGGTAATTATAAGTAGCCATTTCTCTGAGTGAGAAACAGACATTGTTGGAATCAGATATGAATAGATGTTTTTGTGTTTAACTGTTCAAAGGTACCCTACACTTCTTGTTATAATATTAAATATTTGGTGTTTAATGTAAACGGTTCATCTTTAAAAGTATTTATGAAAAACAAAGACAACTCAAATCGTCAGCTGTCTTAAAGCTGCAACATATAAGYATTACTTCATGCCTAACCACCAGTAATTGAAGAATGTCATTTATTCCTTAATTAAAAGTAAATTAAATTAATTCAAGCTTGTCCGTGTTAACAACCAACAGTCTCAGCATGAAAACGACTGAAATAATTATCTTGCGGCCACGCATTATCTCATTAAATCTTTTTATCCAGTGTCACCGGACGGGCTCCGTACATTACTTATAAGGCACTAACTGTTAATAACTATTAGACAGAGCATCACTTTAAAGATAATTGGACTGTCCCTTTAATGGCACACAGGACACTGCAGTAACCAGAGCATCACGGTGTGTTGAACAGCATCACTGATGACTTTATGAGAGCATTTTATCCTCTTGATGAAATCCACTAACTGTATTTTTTCTAATTGTATAAATGGAAAGAAAAAAATGGCAAGAACTGACAGAATAGAGGATATATTTTTTGAATTGTGTGTTGCATTCTCAGTCTTCAAACTATGGGTCTGTGTGCCGTGGTGTGCATTTCTGTTGCTCAAATTGTTCGTAGTAGTGGAGGGCTTCAGCTTGTCAAAGTGGAGGCGAGAAGCCGATGAGCGAATCAAAGTAATGAGGGTGAAACGACCAGTTACATCTCTCTCTGGAAAGAAATGTTTTATATGTGATACTTTGATCAAAATCTGTGTACAAAACAAAGACTTTCTTGATTTATGACTGGCTGTAAATGTTTTTTTTTAATTATATAAAATTATCTAAAAAAGTTATTGGGAAACTGATTTTATTTCATTTGTTACTAAAAACCAATCAGCTTGAGGAATTATTAAAGGGATCCCTGATTAGTTGTAATATTAGACTTTATTTGATAAACATTTATTTTTACTGTAAAATAAAGACTAAAAATACTGTAGGCTGTTCAGTTTTGTAAATTTTTTAAAATGTATTTTAACACGGACGCAGCCATTTTATTTACACGCAAAGCATTCTGGGTAAATGATGACGTGGATAGGTCCTCGGTGTGAGGCTGCTAGCGAGCTATATCCACCCTGAAGGTTAATCTTGGACAATATCTGATGATCGACTCTTTTAAATGAAACCAGAGAGCGTTGACAGAGAGGAGAAGGTAGAAATGACAGCCTGGAACTGAAAATATTGATGGAGGACAACAGAGCTGCTTCATGGAAGAACAACCTCAGCTTAGCCTGTTAGCCTTCTCGCTATATTCTTATATGTATTAGCTCGGCACTAGCGCGACAAACAAGCTAAACTGTTGTCCTCCATGAAGTCTAATGTTACAACTAATCAGGGATCCCTAAAAAAACGGGTGTCAAACCCATTTTCACCGAGGGCCACATGAGCGTTAAAGTGGCCCTCAAAGGGCCAGTTGTTGTTAACTTTGTTTCAACACTAAAGTCACATTCCTCATCTCATTGCTACAGWTGAGCACTGTTAACAATAATTAGCTCTACTTGGTATTTCCTGCATAGAAACAGCATTTTAACACGTCCTCATAAACACTGAAAAGTACTACGAGTACGACTGACTAAATGTGAAATAAATACAACAGAAATACTATTAAAAGTAAGAGTTTTACTCACTGATGAATTGTGGTGAGTAGTCACCAGTGGTGGGCAGCAATAATCTATATATTAGTTGCACTAACCCTAAAGCACTAACTCAAATATTTATGTCCCCTAATTCTAAAGCACTAATGCACTGAAAAAATTAGCAAAAGCTAATTCTAAAGCACTAATTTAACCCAGTTGACATATGAAACATTCTTCAGTTAACATGACACAATATTTACTGTGTGCCGAATTTTGTCACTTAGTGCCCTTGGTGGGCCAAATGGGAGTCACCTGTAGGCCACATTTGGTCTGCGGGCCTTGAGTTTGACACGTGACCTTGTAGATAAGTGAACATATGAACAAAATGTGACAGCTTTCACCCTCAGATGTGAACAATAATGCCAATCACTAACATTTAAAGACCTCAGTTAGTGCTTCTAAATTTAGCAAGTGTTAATCCACTAATAAGTTTAAAAAATAGCAAAATCCCTAAAGCACTAATCAAGAAATTAGTTCTCCTATTAGTGCTTTAGGGGAACTCTGCGCACCACTAGTAGTCGCCATCTTGAAATCTAAACCTTCCCACTTTCCTACAGGGAATTCCCACTGTTCCAGTTTAAATTTACGACTTGTAAATGGGAAATCCCCACTTCCCAGTACAACTGGGCCGCAGCAAACGCAGCCGGTGAAAATGCAACGAAATTGCAATTTTACACGTTGAATTTCACCAGTTACTTTTGAACTCTGTGCAGCGCCACCTAGTGGTGATTAGTTCACAGGTTAATAACTGACATGCATTCTGGAAAATGTAGTTGATGGTTGTTGCTGGCTTTAAAGCAGCACATTTGTAGACATATTAAAACATGTTTGAAGCTTTAACGGGCCACATAAAATGACATTTCGCCTGCAGGTCTCTAATTTGATATTTATTTCCATTTATTTGTATGGAAAATCGATTTGAGTCACCTCAATTTAAGATGGCCGCCACAGCTAATTGGTACTGGTCAAAACAAAAATGGTTGTAACTCAGTTAACTTACAAAAAAAATCAAGTGGTAGCTGATAGTCGTCCCCGTAATATAATCTGAGTATCAACACACCTCACAAAGACTCACAATATCACAAGATACAATTAAAAGACATTTAAGAGTGTTGACCAAAACAACTTTTCAGCACAAGATTTGAGTTTGAAGAGAATCTTTTTCAGTATCAGTAAGGTTGACCGTGGCTGCTGCATTGATGAGTTTGTCAGAACGGAGTATATTTTAAAACAAATGAAGTGGAAGTTTGGAGGCGCCTGATCGATGCAAAGATTGACGATTCCTGTTTCAGACCCGGATCAGAGCCGAGCAGCAGCGACTCTGCAGAAAGATAAATGAATCGCAAATAAGAAAACCTGTTTAAAACCCTCCTCAGGCGCACGCTGACTATCTGAGCTGGAGCTCGGTGGCGACAGTAAACACCGTCGTTCTCGGCTTCACACAAAAGGACCAAATTGATGCCTCGGTTCAGTGATGTGAATCCAGACAAGGACCGAACACGTGTCGTCTAATATGACAAATCTCTCTTTCACAAGCTCTTTCTCTGTTCCTCTGCCTCCTGCAGCAGCTGAGTCASAGCTGGAGCCGTTTGCTTTCTTAGGTTGTCTGACAAAAACAATCATTTCAATGAGTTTTTTTTTAAAAATTTTTAACGTACAAGAAAAAATATTGTAGTAACATAGTTCAGTTTTTATGGGGTTTATACTCAGTACTTACAGAATAACATACAAAGTACTTACCATGTAACATGCTGTCTAATTACCAGATACTTAAGAGGTAACACACAAAGTACTTGTTGGATTACATTCCTAACTACCAACATAGTAAGTACCCTATAATTTAATCAGTAAATATCAGTATGTTACACATTAATTACCTTGCATAAAATCCTCTAAGTACCTCATTACAGAGTAAGTATCCTATAAATTATCCAGTAAATACCCTGTACATTACCCAGTAAGTACCCTGTATGTAATCCAGTAAGTAACCTCTATCTTACAAAGTAAGTATCCTACCCTGTATGTTACTCAGTAGGACCATGTATTATATTCAGTTAGTACCTGTATGTTACCCAGTAAGATTCCTCTACCTTACCCAGCAAGTACCCTGTATATTAACCAATAAGTACTCTATATATTACCCAGTAATTAGCTTATATACAGTATTATCACTTAAGTACCCTTTATATTAACCAGTAAGTTCCTTATATATTACCCAGTACATAACTTATATATTATCAGTTAAGTACCCTGTATATTAACCAGTAAGTACCCTATATATTACCCAGTAATTAACCTATATATTATCAATTAAGTACCCTGTATGCTGCCAGTAAGTACCTTATATATTGCCCAGTATGTACCATGTTTGTAATTTAGTATGTACTCTCTACCTTACTCAATAAGTACCCTGTATATTAATCAGAATCAGAATATTTTAATGATCCCCGGGGGGAAATTGTAATTATTATTATTATTATTATTATTATTATTATATTATTATTATTATATTAACCAGTAAGTATAATGTATGTTACACTGTACATGTCCTGTACTTTACCCAGTAAGTACCCTGTATATTTACCGGTAAGTACCAAATACATTACTCCAAAAAGAATGCTAAGTTTCCCAGCAAGTACCCTGTGTGTTACATGGTAAGTACCTGGTTCATTAACCACCAAGTACTGCTACCCTGTAAGTTCTGGAGAAGTACTGCATAAGTACTGGACTGTATTATTTTGCAGATGTAAGTTTAGAAAAGCTTCTGCTGTTGAAATCTGCTCATTAGGGTCCAGATTTTGGTTTGAGTTTTTCTTTTTCTGGATGTTATTTTTCTCCCATCTGAAACCCAGATTTGTGTGTGAGAGCGTGTGCAGAGAGAGTGAGTGTGCACGCTCATCTCTGCACGGCTCAGCTGCAGGAAGGTGGCAACGTTCGGTGGCACGGAGCGGGCTATCACTTCCAGACTGCTGGAGTCAGCATTACTTGTCGGTGTTGTTGGCTTGTAAAGTTACGACATCAGCAATTTATACACTATAATACACTATTGGATTGTATTGTTTTTACTGAACTGCAGTAATGAGAGGAACACATTCATCTCTTAAGACCATATTGGGCAAAAAAAAWAAATAAATAAAATGTGATAGGGATTGTACGAGGAATTGACAGATTTCTTTCAAAAAAGARGTATATATTAATATAAAAGTCAATTATTAGTAATAACATCTCATCAGTATTATGACACAATCTGTATAGTTGGACACATCATCATCATCACAAGGCTGTTTATTCTTTAATGAAATTATAAAATAATAGAGTGTGTGAAAATGTTCTAGCCCATGTCTGACTGCATCTTTCTATGTCAGTCAACAAAACACAGTAGTGGGCACAGGTCCGCTAACCCGCTCATTTACTAATAACAGAGCTAGCTTCTCATTTAGCAGATTAGCGTTTTTGCTAAGTTTGAGAATCATTAGCAGACCAATTAGCTTCCACTAAATGGGCTTCAGCTAATTGTAATTCCACTAAAAATAGCACAAGTGTAAAAACTTTTATTTTATGCCCAAATTAAATAAGAACTCTCAGCTGTTACTAGCAATGCTGGACATGTCAGGCACCCTATGTGTAGCACGTAGCATCTTTAGCAGCTAAACTTCAAACTAAAAGCATCAAAAAGAAAATAACATTTAACAATATTTTTAATGAATACAAAAATGACTACAGTATGTATAAAATATGGTAGAGAAAGAATTGGATGGATGGATGGATGGATGGATGGATGAATGGATGGATGGATGGATGATGGATGGATGGATGAAAGATGGATGGATGGATGGATGGATGATGGATGGATGATAGTTGGATGAATGGATGGATGGATGAAAGATGGATAGATGGATGAATGGATGGATGATGGATGGATGGATGGATCATGGATAGATGGATGTATGATAGATGGATAATGGATGTATGATGGATGGATGGATGATGGATGGATGAATGGATGGATGGATGGATGATGGATGGATGGATGAAAGATGGATGGATGGATGGATGGATGATGGATGGATGATAGTTGGATGAATGGATGGATGGATGAAAGATGGATAGATGGATGAATGGATGGATGATGGATGGATGGATGGATCATGGATAGATGG